CTAAACTTTTCACTTGTTTTTTTTAATAGTTTCAGTAATTTTTGTAGTACTTCAACTTAAACTTCATTTCATCTAGTTGCTAACTGTTACCATTTTTGTTTATTTTTTTCAAGTTTAAGCTTTTAATCTAATATTTAAGTTTTATGCTATTTCAGCTTTATTTCAATTGCCACAAACAATTTTTTATAGTTTTACATTTAGTAATTTTGGTACTTCAGCCTAATCTTATTTATTCCAGTTAGTTGTAAAGGTAACTTTAAATTTTAATGTTGTTTTTAGTTCAAGTTTTTCATCTAATATGAATTTTTTTAAAACATTACTTCATTTCAGATTGAATTTGATTACCAAAAACAGTCTTTTAAATGTTTTAGTTAACAACACTGTTTATTGGAAATGTACCCTGGTATTTTCATAATTTACCAACTGCATAGAATAAATCTCACTGGAGATTGGAGTGTTTTGCTGAACTTGAGACCTTTGCCTGTCCTAGAGTGACCTTTGACCCACTAACAGATCCTGCCAGCTCCATTGGCAGGCAATAAATACAGTGTCAATGACTCTGGCAGTTAATATGCTGAGGATGTATGTGCTAATGCTACAGGGACGCGACTTATGATGATGTGTCAATCAAAAGACAAAATGTCCTTCAAGTGAATCTCAGTCTGTCAGAGCGACCGGCAGAGTCTTAGAGTTTCTCTTCTCTGCGGTAATGAAAAATCAAACACTTCTGGAGATTACTTAAATGAACGCTCAGAAAATGTCACCCGTCCTCTAAAAATAAACATCTATTTCACCCTGAACCGCCGAGAAACTGGAGCAGCATCTTCAAAGCCATGGAAAGCAAATCACAGTTCTGAAACCAGTATTAATCCTCGCTTTGAAACACCATCGCATTGACGTTCTCTGTGGGATTTAGCTTTTACTTCATTTTTTTTAATAACCATATTCCCATGGAATATCCTCAAATGCTTTAAATCCATTAATGGATCGTTATGAAAGTCCAGTAGAAAGGCGGCTGCTTTTGAGGGATTTCGGCTGGAGAAAATAGATGGAGAGCAACAGTAGGGTCCTGAAAGTCAAACTCTCATTCAGTTTCTCCACAGAGAAATTGAGTTTTAACTATAATCGATAAAGCTTTCAAACCAGAGCTTGGAGATTTTAAGTGACATTATTTTGTGTAGAAAGTCAGTGTTATTTCAGTGTCTTTTTTTTATTGTTTAATTGCTGGAAACATCCACCAATCAGGTTGCTGGTAACATGGACATTTCGGTATCTCTACACTATCAAATTACTTGTGTTTTTGTACAGTGAAGAAACTTGGTGTAGAAACCATTTTTACTTTGAGATTGCTAGTAAATTTCACAAAGAAATTGCAAGTCACACATTGAATTGAACATGAAATGTTAGATATCAAAGTAGAAAGTTTTAAAGTAGAAAAACTCAAATAGTATTTTTTTCTTGTTAAATATTATGCACTCCAATAATCTGCATTACACCGTTTTAACCTAAACTAAGAAAGTGCATGTGATTTGTCAGTCATACATAAATTCAGATTTCTATAATAGTACAAATAAACTGAATGTGTTTTAAATACACAGTAACCAGGTTTATGTGTTTATCATCAACAAATCCAACTTGTTTCAATCTCATGCATCTTAACTAATTGTTTATTGCTTGTTTTGAATAAATGCGTTTTGAAAATATGATTATTTAAATAGATGTAAATAATAAACTAATCCAAGGTTTTTTTTTTTTTTTTTTTTTTTGTGGGAAAACTTCCCCCTTTTTTTTTTTTTTTTTATTGTTTAATTGCTGGAAACATCCACCAATCAGGTTGCTGGTAACATGGACATTTCGGTATCTCTACACTATCAAATTACTTGTGTTTTTGTACAGTGAAGAAACTTGGTGTAGAAACCATTTTTACTTTGAGATTGCTAGTAAATTTCACAAAGAAATTGCAAGTCACACATTGAATTGAACATGAAATGTTAGAAATCAAAGTAGAAAGTTTTAAAGTAGAAAAACTCAAATAGTATTTTTTCTTGTTAAATATTGCAGAGTGCAGAAATCTGACCTGTTTTATTTATGTATGGCTGACAAATATGCACCACGTTACATTTATTCGTTTATGTTAAACTGCGTAATCCAAATGGATGGAAATTTTATATGCAATTTAATATATAAATCTTAAATTCAGGCCTAAATATATATTGAATGTTGAAGTCTATGGCAAGTCTTTTGGAAAAGAGCGTGTGTGTGTGTGTCTGTACGCGTTTTTGTGACAAATGAGGACATAAATGTGTATAATGACAAAGGTATGACAGGTATTACAAGGAGAAGGTGACTTTTCAGGACATTACCCCATGTCCCCACTTTTCAAAACGCTTATAAATCACACAGAATGGAGTGTATTGAAAATCTGAAATAGCACAAAGTCTCCTGTGAGGGGTAGGTTTAGGGGTAGGGTTGGTGTAGGGCAATAGAACATACGGTCTGTACAGTATAAAAACCATTACACCTATGGAGAGTCCCCACTTTTCACAAAAACAAACCTGTGTGTGTGTCATGAAATGAACAGAAGTCCCACAGCCTTTAAGCAATTACCATAGCATGGATCTATGTGCTAAATCAATTAGCGAAACGCTTTTAATGAGGTCAGGGTTGAATCTGGCAGCTTTCCCAAAGCAAATCCAATCAAATGGCCTTTGGAATGAGAAAGTCTTTCAGCAAATCCTCTTCTGTCGTAAATCATCGGCGGCGGTTACAAGTGGTTCAAAGTCTTCAGGCCTTGAGTTTTGATTCAAAATTAAAGCCTCTGGTTCTTATGTTGCTTTTAATGAATAAAATAACCAAATCATAGTGAATTTAGTTTAAATAAAGCTGATGTAACATTCAGAGCAAGTCGATTTTCAATCGCTGAGTCTGAAATATGAGCGCAGAAACCTAAAGCATGAAAACTGCTCTAAAGGGTCAGAGGTCAGTTGTGTTTACAGCTGCGTTTATCAGACTGGAGTGCTTTATCTGAGGTTGTCTATGTTGTTGTGCTGTAGACTATGTTCTCTGCTAGTGACAGTATTCAAAATACAATTATGATAGATGCAACACACATTCATTGGAGAGAAACATGTATCTTTCTATTTTAGAGTGTATGAATGTATGTAGGAATAGTTCACCTAAAAAATGGCTGAAAATGTCCTCCCCCTCAGGCCATCCAAGATGAGTTTGTTTCTTCGTGGGAACAGATTTGGAGAAATGTAGCATTGCATCACTTGCTCAGCAATGGATGCTGTTGTTGTGCTGTAGACTATGTTCTCTGCTAGTGACAGTATTCAAAATACAATTATGATAGATGCAACACACATTCATTGGAGAGAAACATGTATCTTTCTATTTTAGAGTGTATGAATGTATGTAGGAATAGTTCACCCAAAAAATAAAAAATGGCTGAAAATGTCCTCCCCCTCAGGCCATCCAAGATGAGTTTGTTTCTTCGTGGGAACAGATTTGGAGAAATGTAGCATTGCATCACTTGCTCAGCAATGGATGCTCTGCAGTGAATGGGTGCCGTCAGAATGGGAGTCCAAACAGCTGATAAAAACATCACAATAATCCACAAGTAATCCACACCACTCCAGTCCATCAGTTAATGACTTGAGATGCCAAAAACTGTGTTTTTGTAAGAAACAAATCCATCATTAAGACGGTTTTAACTTTAAACTGTTGCTTCTGGCTGAAATACAAGTCCTCTACTCAATTGTATTGCTTTCTCCAGTTAAAATGTCGCGTCTCGTCTGAATCAGGAGAGAAATCTGCGCAGATCAAGCACTGTTTACAAGCCAAAACAGCTCTAAACAAATATGTTGGGTGGATTTTGATATGAGAGACAACAGGGGATGGACTTTGTCACTGGACAAAGCGTTATTATGAATGATGTACTTATATTTTGGCAAAAGTTTGAAGTTTAAATGCCTTAAAGATGGATTAGTTTCTTGCAGCATGCAGCTTTTCAATCCACAATTAGGGATGAAACAATTCACTCAACTCACGATGCAATACGATTCACAATACGAATTTCACGATATGATTTTCTCACAATTTTTTTTTTAACAAACATAGATTTAAGACAAATTATAAAGGTTTCCTTTTATTATTTCTCAGACAAAATGGTGCACATGTCTTTGTGAAACTGAAATATGTCAAATAACAAAATTAAACTGAAATTGTAAAACAAATCCCAAATCAAATAAATGAATAATACAAAATAGAAAGAAAATGTAAACAAACCAAGGCTTTGCCTGTGCTCTTTCCATTTAAAATTAGAGGTAACCACTGCATTTTAATCACAATCCAAACAAAGCATACATGCAGTTTTTTTTATTTAAATTTGATTGTATAATTTATTTTGCTTTGTGAAAATATACCACATAAAACATCTGAACAAAACAAAAACAGCAGAAGGGCAACATGAAAACACAAATTCACTCTCTGACAGCAGGTGGCGCTTATGGAGCAGCAGTGATACGGTGTTTCCTTGGTTACCACTGTAAACAAAGCCGTGCCGCAAATACTACATTAATATACATTTTATGGAGGTTTTCATGGAGTCCGTCATTGTATTGGACTCTCATTCTGACGGCACCTATTCACTGCAGAGGATCCATTGGCGAGCAAGTGATGCAAAGCTACATTTCTGGGGAAACTACTCTTTCAAACAGAGCAGATTCACATTCAAAATAATCGTTTGGTTTTAATATCCAAACAGAAATGTTTTAGTGATGTATTCCAGATAAGCAAGCATTTAATATTGCATCTTCTAGATAAAAACAAACATATAAAATAGACATGAACATGACAAAACTATCTGAATCCTCCTATTTTTAATGTTAGACATCAGTTCTCCTCCAGTGCATCTCTTGTTTTCCTTTAGTTTTGCCTGTAGGCTTGGATACAAGTGAACTGCAAATGCATTAAATTGGTTTATTTGTTTGTGTTTACAGGTTCTGTCCAATGCACGGCTGGTCCTGGAGAACCTTATAAAGTAAGTATATCATTAACATCATTTGTTGCTTAATTCATAAATAAACCGGCAATGGTAATTTGATTTCTCATGCTCAGTGACTCACTAATTTCTGGCTAATGATCCAGCTGAAGCGTCTGAATGAGACAGATAATGACTGTGCCCGGCAGGAACTAAATACATGTCTTTTGTTACTTGTCATTAAGCAAACACTTTTATCCAGAGCAGCATATAGTGCACTAATCGCTGGGCTCGTCCCTCTGGAGAAAGACACTGTTAAATGGCAATGTAACCCCTCTCTCCCGGGTCTTGAGATCAGTGGAGTGAGGTTTTACCTGCACAGCACCTACTCGCTGGCGTCCGTTACACACACCCCCTAAACCTCACTCCCATCCGGGTCACGGCACCAATGTAACCCCTCTCTCCCGGGTCCTCACCACCACACCTCGTTTTTGTTCCGAGTGGGTCTCCGGCATGGGAGGCGGTTGCACTAACAAGGAGGCTAAAGACTGCACAGCACCTACTCACTGGCCTCCGTTACAACAGCAGTAATGATGAAGAAACTCTCCAGTTTGTTGGTTGCTTCTATCAGGTGTTGAATACAGGAGCTTTGGCTTCTGGGATTTTTCAGCCCCTTCTCACTATAAAAACATTTATTCAACATTAGCATTAGCAAAAATGAGGCTTTCCCTAACAAACACCAATAGCAATACAGTCAAATTTATTTATTTGTTTGTTTGTATGAATAAAATGGAGCTTTAAAATTGTGTTGTTGTTTTCTTGCATTGCTTTTTCTTTTTTTTTCTTCTTTTTTGTATTGTGGCATTTTTTTAATGAAAATTATACACATTTTACTCCAATTCTCATTATTTTTGCGCTTTGTGAAAAAATCCCATTCTTATTATTGTAACGCAAAAAAAAGAGAATTAATATTTAAATCTTTATCATTTGTTATTTATATTAAATATTATATATATATATATATATAATGATTTTATAATTGATTTAAATAATTTATATTTATATACATTTATACACAATAATAGAAAATAATGTGTGTGTGTGACAATGCAAAAAAAAATATTTTAGAAATTTTATAAATCATTTGAGATTTTATAAATAATTTTCTAAATTATTGATTTAAATTACATATATATACAAAACGCAATATGCATGTTAGCAGTAAACAATGCAACATACGTAATACAATATGATGAAAAATTGAAGGTAACATTCATTTAACACATTAAAACGTAAGGTTTCTCATTAGAAATACATCTAAATTACATGTTCTCCTCTTGTCTTCAGATATGGCATTCTGGTGGACCCCATCCAGATCATCTCTCTCTTCCTGAAGGACCCGTACAGCTGGCCGGCTCTGTGCCTGATCATTGGTAAGATAAGTGTGTGTGGTTTGTGACCTACAGCAGATTCATGCAGATCAGTTCATGCTGAAGACATCATTTACACTTTCTGTCATGCATAACAATCCACGTCAGTATTCCATGCATACTCAGTTCAATGTGCCGTGTCTAATCCGTTTGTTTTTGCAGTTTCCAACGTCTTTATAATGGCAGCTTTGTACATAGAGAGAAAGCTATCTGTGGTGAGTTGCATGCTGGGAGTTGCGTGCATAGGCTTACAGATATAACCAATTACACTAAAGGGTAACACACACACACACATATATAGTATATATAAATATAATGAAATAACAAATAATTTAATTGTAAACATTTTTTTCCCATTTATAATATATCATTTTTGGTGTGGATGAAATATGACCTGAACATTTCTTAATGAGATTTGTTTGTTTATTGCAGGTTAAATGTATATCTGTTAGCACAAGTGTTTTCATTGCTGGTTGGTTTTAATAAAGTCGTGTAATTTCATTTTCAGGGCACCATCTCAGAGTGCACCGGAACATTCCTTCACTGCATCAATCTTGCAGCTCTTTTATTTGTCCCAGCTGGTACAGTTCTCAGCGTGTCCTCGATGACCCCGGGTATCATCTTCCATCAGTGTGCATATGTTCATACTAACACCTTCAACCATAGGTCTTATAAGAAAATGTCACTACAGCATTGTTTTCTCATGCACTAACTACAAAACAACTCTATTAGTGGTAGTTTTTACCTTTTGACCATGTGATTTGGTTGATCTGAACTAGAAAATTATGCTTTTGATGTAATCTTTTATCTTAAAAATCGACTAGTCACTATGTATCACTACATTTAGCAACTGTTTACTGTGTTCTTTATGTTATGTCTTGTATGTAAGTTCTGGGGTTCTTTCTTCCTTTCTGGCTGTGTTTCAGTGGGTGGTGTTGTGGCGTTGGGTGTCTTCACCGTTCTCTTCCTCAAGCTCTATTCATACAGCGACGTCAACAAATGGTGCAGAGAGATCAGACGCGCCAAAGCCCGAACCCTGTCTCGCTCTCACTCCTGTGAGTAACACTCCAACCTCACCAAAAACCACACACAACACACATTTTTATCATGCATATCTGACATCAGGCAGATTCCTATATTCACATGCATTTCTGTGCATGAATGCAAATGCTTCTAGATACACAATCACTTTGTGTTCTGAAATGCATAATTGCACAAATCTTAATGCAATGCATGTATAGCAATTATAGCAATAACAGCTGCCACTTGTTCTTCTATCTCTCCTGTAGCACCTGTGGTTTATGAATCTTGTGTTTTGTCATCTGTTGTTTGCTCTCAGTGTTTGTTTGAATATGTACAAAACAGAGATGTGATTTCTGTTTGCACAGAGTCTGAGCATCAACACTAATGTTGTGCTGTACTGCCACATACTGGACAAAGAAAAACAGCACATTTAAGGCAAACCTTACCATCAGCATTATTTATATAAACATGCTGTGTGTTGAGGACTAATTAAAAGTGTCTAATAAAATAAAAAAGCAACACCAGAAACTATTTTCACTCAGAAATTTCTAGTAAATTTTACAATTAATTACTGAGAAATAGCAAGTAATATATAGAATTAAATGTGAAATTTTGAAGGAGAAAGACTGAAATAGTTTCTTGTAAAATGTACTCCAGTGATCTTTTAGATAACTAAAATTGAAAGTAAAATTATAACCATTAAAAAACATTTTTGTTACTTGAAATAAAATAAATGTTAGCTGAAATAAAATATAAAAATGTTTTAAATCACCTGGTTGCCAAGGCAACATTTCTCATTTTGATTTAGTTTTACCTGATGTACTAAAGTAATTAATATATATAAAAACCAAAACTAATAAAAATGACAAAAACAAAATTTGTAAAACTGTAAGTAAACAACATAAAATGAAATAGGAAAACATAAAAATAGTATCTCAGTGATACTAAAATAACACGTATCTGTAGTATTTATGGACTTATGTAACCTTCAAACTTCAAACTAGCCCACGCAAAGAAAGAAGGAGTGGTTTCAGGAACAGCAGTAGTGTTGACGCAGCCATGTCGGGGAGACGCTGTGTGTTTGAGAAGGGTATAACTGCAGCCTGGAGATCTCCAAATGGGGGCGGGAACTCCAAAACGGGGTGGGAGCTCCAAAATAGGGGAACATTAAAGCATGTCAACATATGCTGTTACACAAAATAATGATCTTTAAAATAGCATCATATGACCCCTTTAATCAATTTTATTATCTATTTTTACATTTATTTGATTTTATTATTTTTACAGACATTTATTATTTTATTTTCGTTCCAACTCTGTGTTACGAGCTGAACTTCCCGCGGTCTCCACGGATACGGAAGCGCTTCTTACTGCGCCGACTGCTTGAGATGGTGAATATATGACAGCAGAAACAGTCCTGAGACACACGTTTGCAGTTCTGATCATTTTATACCTATTTTTCTTTCTTGCAGCTGTTTTTAATGCAGTTAATGATTGGATTAATACAGCAGGTATGCAAATAGTAGTTTAAATACAAGTTTTTGTATATATGTGACATGATGTTTTTAATGACTTTTATATTTTTTTATTTTATTTGTCTTTTGATAGTGGATGGTTCCGACGATTCAGAACTCAATGAAACCCTTTCAGGTAGAATCTCACTGTAATGTTTTAAACATGTAAAGCCTGACATATCAAATAATAGTTCAAAAAATCTAATGTTTTGAAATGGTTGTTTGAACCTTTAGACAAAAAAATGTTTGCATGTGTGTTTTTTGTTAAGTAGCATATTTGATACATCAGGCTTTTATGGCTCATATAGTGTATATACAGCTCAGCGTTATAATTATTATATACAGTTTAGCATTATACGAAATATTTAAATGCTGAATGCCACGATTGACCAATCAGAATCAAGGATTTCAAGCAGCTTGAATTTTACAGCTGATGTTATGTTTGTGGCCCCTCCTCCTCAGAGTGTCTAATGGCACAAGCCCCGCCCCTTCTCCCTGTCCCTTTACAGGTGCCCAATCATTTTATCTGGCTCATCTTTTTCTATTGGTATTTCCACTCCTCTATGAACTTCGTAGCTGAGCTCATGCAGTTTGGAGACCGCGAGTTTTACCGTGACTGGTGGTGAGTGGCGCCCTCCATCCAGAGCTGATTCAGGCTTATCAAAACCTGTAGTATGTTAAACTACAGTAATATGTAGTGTGTTAAATGTTAAAGGTCCATTTACACCAAGGATGGTAATTATAAAAATAACTATAACTGTGAAGTTTTAATAATCATTCTAATTCTATGAGAAGTCTAATCTACAACTATAACAACAAAGGAACTAAATGACTGGAATCACTTTTAGAACTACTTATTTCCGGCTAATGAATGAAAAAAACATTGACAAGCAGAATCCACTTGAACTTAAAGAGCTCAAGCATTTAAACCTATAATAAACAATGCTATATCACATTTGTTTGGATGCTATACAATCTTTATAGTTATCATTCGTATTGTAAGTGGTCCTTAAAGGGTCATATGATGTTGCTAAAATATTTGTGTATTTGGTGTAATGAAATGTGTTTATGCGGTTTGCGATTAAAAAAACACATTATTTTCCACATACTGTACATTATTGTTTCTCCTCTATGCCTCGCCTTTCTGAAACGCATAGATTTTTGCAAAGCTCATCGGTCTGAAAAGCGAGGTGTGCTGTGATTGGCCAGCTATCCAGTGCGTTGTGATTGGCCGAATACCTCAAGCGTGTGACGGAAATGTTGTGCCCCTCACCATACTGTGATGATGCCCTGTCGGGCCAGAGCGATGAGAAAAAAACAATAAAAAACATTATAAACGAGGCATTTGTTGCATCCAGTGGGGACATAATTATGAATTATAATGACTTATACTGTCTTTTTACACGTTGCATTGCATTGCGCCGTGTAAAAATAAAACCATGTCTGCATTTGTGATCGGAGAAATGACAAACAACAAGCGCTACTCTACACTGCTCAAAACTCGCTGTGTTTTATAACGTGCAATCTAATGTTAACACTGCCGAGCCAAAGCAGCACATCATTGCAATGCCTTCTCAGTAATATTTCATACTTGACATTTTCATGTCAGGCGCAAAATCAAAAGTGCCACAAATGTGTTTGTATTTTTCCAAATGCATTTCAGAACTCATTTGTGTCTGCAATATAAATGTATTGTTTTTTTAATTCTCTGTGCTGTTGCTTTGGTGGTGCGATTGACTGAATCTGTGAGGTTTTGTACTTTATTCAGAAATGCATGACGTTTGTCAACCTTTTAAAGGTTCATTTAAAGAATGTAACTGCTTTTATGTTGATTTCAATACTTGTTGTTGATTTTATGAGACATCTTTTATGAGATATATATACATTATATCAGCATTGTACATGAATCTGTGAAATTGTTGAAGCCAAAATTATATTATGTGTCATTTAATTTGCCTGTAGTGTTATTAAATGGGATTTAATGGGATTCAAGTACGAAGGTGGCCTAAAAAGATGTAAGATGTCCTAGTGCACGTAATTTTGAAAACCATTTTGTGGAATTTTTGTCTACTGAAATTTTATATGCCTCAACTCCAGGGCAGGATCTGGCACCCTCGGCCCGAGATTTGGAGGCTATGGGTGTGGCCGATCAAGGACGATCGGCTGTGACCTCTGGTCTTCCTGTGGACGTTCAGCAAACCACTGATAATGCTAGGGCTCCTTCTACTAGGAGGCTTTATTCTTCCAAGTGGAAGGTTTTTGAGTCGTGGTGTTCAGCTCATGCAGTGGATCCAGTCAGCTGCCCGAATGGTTTTGTGTGGGAGTTTCTGGACGAAACGTTTGTGGCTGGAGTGGCTGCTACCACCTTGAGAGTTTATGTTGCAGTTATCGCTGCTCGCAGGTATGCGGATGAAGTCTCCCTAGGTTGACATTGTTTGGTCTCTTCGTTTATGTGTGGGGTTAGGAGTTTGAGACCGGCGCACCCTGTCAGTGTTCCTTCCTGGGACTTGTCTGTCGTCCTGGAGGGCTTATTGGAGTCATCGTTTGAGCCTTTGGAGTCAGCTCCTGAACAGATTCTGACCCTTCAGGTGATGCTCCTGTTGGCGTTGGCTTCTATCAAACGCATAGGGGATTTGCAGGCTCTCTCTGTTAGTGAGTCATGCATGGAGTTTGCTCCGGGCCTTGTTAAGGTGTTCCTACGGCTCAGACCCGGTTATGCTCCCAAGGTCTTGTCCTCGTCGTTTCACTCCCAGGTGGTCGTGCTTCACTCCTTCTGTCCTCATCCTTTTGCTTCTTTTGAGGACAAGGCTTCACCTGCTCTGCCCTGTTTGTGCTTTGAAGCTCTATGTGGACCGCTCTAGCCAATGGCGCAAGTCCTCCCAATTGTTGGTGTTTTGTTGCTGGCCATAGAGAGCTCGTCGCATCAAAACATAGGATTTCTCATTGGGTAAGGGATGCTATCTCGCTTGCGTACGAGGTCTGAGGTCTCTCTTCACCGCTAGGTATTCAAGCTCATTCTACCAGGAGTGTTGCTTCCTCTCAAGCTCTTTTCAGAGGAGTTGCCCTGGAGGATTTCTTGAACCAGCCGTAACCAAAAAATAATGGACACCAAATAAGTGAGGCTGTATTTTGCTAAAAACTTTTCTTAAAACTTGGTACCAGACCTTTGGGTGCATCCTGTTGGTCAAATGTTGTAAATAATTTTGTATATGTTCGCAAATATTGTGAACAGAAATCATTGTTTTGTTGCCCTGATTATCTGGTTAAAACATTTCGGCTGCTGCAGTGCTTGGTCCCATTTTTTTTGGGATCTAGATAAGTTTTAGGTTGACTCATAATTTACCATGGTTATGATAATACTGAGATGTAAATTAATTTTATTCTATTGTAGCTGCTGCAATCAGGTGTGATAACAGATTTGTTTGAAGAGTTTTTGAATTACGTTTAAAGTACCTTTCTACAAATCATTTGAGAGATTTAATAACCAAAAGATTTTTCCAGTGAAAGCCAAATTTTGTAACTTGAAGACACGTTACGTTTTCCTTGTAGGTTTTGGCAGCTCATGTTCCAGTTTAATAAATATTTTAAAAGATCAGCAGATCTAGTGGTGTATGAAATATGTTGTGACAATATCTGGAGAAAATGGCTTTGTTCCCTTTTTGTATGTCGCTTTGGTGTCTACAAAATGCATAAATGTAAAGGTAAAGACATCGGGGTTCACTTTGTGCATATAAAATATTTATTCAGCAGACGGAAACCAATCACAGTTCCAAAAACAACACTTGAAAAACAACAAAGATAGTGCCACTAGAAATCCATCCAGTATGAACATGTGCAGATAAAACAGAGAAGAAATGAAGGAATCCAGTCTGCTGTCACTGCTGTGGAGAAAATACACAAGATTAATACAGAACAGTATAAACCGTAAAAAAATTTTTTTTTTTAAAAAGTCTGTGCATGAGCATCTCACCTTTGCTTTGTTTTGTACTGGTAAATAGAGTTTAAATTCAGCGGGGAGCTCGTCCTCAGAGTACAGCCGGTCAGAGAAATACACCCTCCGGATGCGACAGTTTGCGTGAATCTGAAAGACACGAGGACGGCCATCACAAACCCCATAAAGGCCTAAATCACAGTCTGACAGCTTTAGTTTCAGGCCATTTCTAATAACAGCATTTACAACATACAGTAATTACCATTGAATTCAGCTCAAATATCATAGTTACTGTAAATACATTACTAAATTATTATCTGCTTTCACTGAAGTCTCTTCTTCTGTAATAACCTTTGGCTGAATTTCGGGATGCATATTAGCAACCATTATCAATTTAGATCAACACCGGTTTAGACTGACATTGGATATCAGATATTATCAAGGTTTGTTGCCATTATAAACTATTTTAGTATTGGCAGATTTTTATAAGCAGTTAATTCTTATAATCTTAAAATTATATAAATGCATATAATACAAATTATTTTATTTATATATAAATATTGCATTTAAAAACATTATACATTTATGTATTTTCAAGACAATTAAGTTAACTAATGCAAAAGAAATGTAATGCAAAGAAAGTGTCAAAGAATTTATGTATCATGGTAATACATGTTCTACTGCTAGATTTATGGCAATTTTTTCATTTTATAATTTTTTTTTTTACTATCAGCAGTGTTATTTTAGTATCATTGAGATACTATTATAGTTTTTATTAACATTTTGGTTTATTTTTTTGTTAAACCTTGTAATTTTGTTGCGTTTTTGTTATTTTTTTAATATGTCTGTATAGTTTTTATTAAATTTTTTATTAGTTTTAGTGAGTCAAGTTAAACTAAATGAAAATGAAAAAAGGTTGCCTTGGCAACTAGCTGGAATAAAATAAGTTATATATTTTATTTGAGTTTTTCTTTCAAATAATGGAAATGCTTTTTTATTATTTTGCTTTTAGTTTAGTTAACTAAAATAAGACTGACCGTCAGAATCATAAACAATAAATCGACCATTAAATCTAACAATTGAGCACATCTAAACTTAAATGAAATATATCACAGTTTAAAAAGTGACGTGACATGTGGCCAAGTATGGTTACCCATACTAGGAATTAGTGCTCTGCATTTAACCCATCCTAAGTGCACACACACAGCAGTGAACACACACACCCTGAACACACACAAAAAAACATTTGTCCCAAAATAGAACTCTTTATGCAAAACGCAATTTCTTATGGTTTTCCTCTTGATTTTGGGGTGAAATGTGAGCTGGATCAGTCTCTCTGACCTGCACTCTCAGCGTCTCGATGTAGTTGGTGCCGTACGCCCGGCGTGTGAAATCTGACAGGTTGAACTGGATCTGATTCCAGCCGTCGTCCAGCCGCATGGGCATCGTGCAGATGAAGGGCTTCACGCGGGTCGTGCTCTGATAGTTACTCGCCCTGAACCTCCGCCGCACATTTTTATCGTCCAGCACCTGAAACACATCACACATTCCTGACATCACAAACCAACTTTGGATTATTTTGACGAAACCAATTCCCTACCTGAACTTCGAATGTGAAATACTTCTTGAGGTTCTTGATGATCATGACGAGGAAGGGCAGTTTGATGCCGAGGGTTTTCTTGGGGTCTGCGGGACACGTGATGTAGGTGGTGCTGTGGAGATCAGACACACACGGGTCAGGTCTGAACACGATGTGTGTGT